GGAGTTGTGCCCCATCTCTCTGTTGTCTTCTTGGGATGGTCTGCACTCCACAGTGAAGGTGCTTGTGGTGGTAGACCTCTGCAGCAAGTTGACCAACTGGGTCTGTTTTTATCAGGCCCGTTAGGTCTTTGCCTCTTCTACTGAGGCAAAATATGATCCTCCACGCAGGTGGCCCTACTGGCATGGTCCCAACCAGCAGAAATAAACCATATTCCTCACTTCACAATTCTATCCCTGAAATGCCTATTGCCATCACTGTGTGGAAGAAAGCACAAAGGATCAAGTGATGTGGGGCAACCATTCTAGATAATATACAGATAAAATGGTTTTTGTTTTTGTTTTTTTTTTTTACCTAACATTGTATTCTTCCAATGACTGAATGTTTGTGCAGGTACCACAGCAGAAGGCTAAGTGAAATAAGTCAAGCAGAGAAAGACAATCATCATATGGTTTCACTCATATGTGGAAATAAGGAATAGCACGAAGGACCACAGGGGAAGGGAGGGAAAACTGAATGGGAAGAAATCAGAGAGGGAGACAAACCATGGCAGACTTTGGACTCCAGGAAACAAATTGAGGGTTACAGAAAGGAGGTTGGTGGGGGAATGGGGTAACCAAGTGATGGGTATTAAAGAAGGCACGTGTTGTGATGAGCACTGGGTGTTTTATGCAATTAATGAATCGTTGATCACTACATCAAAAACTAATGATGTACTATATGCTGGCTAACTGAACATAATAAAAATAAAGAATTAAGCAGTCTACTTTCCTTTTCTCTCTTTTTTTAAGCTTTTAAGTGCTTTCCAAGTCGTTTCTACTATAAATTACATCCTATTGTAGCTTTGTAGATAGCTTTCTTTCCCTCCTACATTTTGGATTATTACCTTAACTTAGATTTCTAAAAGGCGGCCCCAAGTTTCTCCCAGACGTTTTATATTTATATTTATATTATATATACAGACACTCCCAGATTAATTTTAGCTGAGCTCCTGTGCTCCTTTGCACAGATACTATGTTGCACAGTGGAAGCAGCAAGCAAAGACTTTCCTGGTTACCTTGGTGGTTTTCCTGTCACCTCCTGTTCTCAGCATATTCTCTGACTTTCTTAACACATACTGAAAATTTTCTCCCAAGTTACCATGTCCCACAGAATGGTGATAGCCCCTGTTTACTCCCACTCCAGATTTGGGGTGAAAATATGGGGGAGGGGTAAACTCAAGAGTGAGGATTAGAGGACCAACCACCTGTGATGTGCTCCGCCTTCATGCTGATACCTCACTTTCTTCCTCAGAAGCTTCCAGAAGGAAACTACACCCTCATTCTACATAGAAAGAAGTTAAGAGTGGGAGACAAATGGGCTGTGAGTTTGATTTGCATTCTAGAATTAAACAGTGGTGATACTGACAGTTTTCATCACTCCCATACTTTCTTTCTCCCAAATTCCCCTCCTTCTAGGGGATTCTCTTCTGACATCCCAAAGAATGTGTCCATTCACAACAGGCTTCCCTGCCCCCTAATCTGGCAAGACCACTTTTATCAGTTAGTTTTTATCACAACAATGCTGCATAACAAACAATGAAAAAAGCCTCAGCTGTATTTGACAAGTGTTTATTGCTCATACATCTGTGCTGGGCAGATAGGCAGCCCTGTTGATCGTGGATGGGCTCACTTAAACATTAGCTCATGGAGTTGGCTGGCAGATCTAGGTTGGCCTTGGCTAGGTTGAGTGAAGTAACTTGGTTCTCCTCCAGCTGGACAACTGAGGCATATTTTCATGGTAATAAAGAGTTACAAGAATGAGCATGTACCTCAGGTCTCCACTTGCTCCATGAAACACTGGGACCATGAATGCAAGGAATCTATTGCATCCTTCCAGAAATGACTGGGTTGGAGGTGGGGAGTTTCTGGAACTTCTATAGCTCCCTCCCAACATCTGGGGACCTGCTCACTCCTTTGGGCCCTGGGAAATTCATTCAGGGTGAGCCTCCAAAGGCTTTCTTTTTGAAAGAGTTAACCTTCAGAACCTAATGCTCGGTTTTGACGCGACACACATTGGAACCCAAGGGCTCTGATATTTGCCAGTTTTAAGATAATGAAATTAAAAGTTTGGACTGTGTAATCCCTTGGACCTGCATTTTAAGTCTAGCCTTCAGTTAACTATTTGGGTGACCACTGCCACATCACCTCATTTCTCTGAGCTTCAGTTTCTCAAACAAAAGTGATAATAACTCTCATGCATAATCTTCATGAGATCTAATGAGGATGAAGTATAGAAAGGAATTGGCACATAAACAGCACTCGATAACTGGGAGCTATCAAATCAGTCTCTACTCTTTTAGTTGTGCCAGAAACCCAACTGAAACTAGCTTATGCTTAAAAGGGTGGCTGGAGGTTAGGGGGGGAGGACACTAATGAATCATACAACTGTCATTCCAAGAGCACAAACGATTTCATCAGAATTATATATTTTCTCCATTTCTTGGCCATAACTTTACTTGCTTGGTTTCATCCTTCAGATAGTTTTCTGCCACATGGGGGCTCAAGATGTGAGATTCTGTAATTCAATCATGAGCATGGATGGGAAAATGAAACATTCTCCTTGACCAGACCAGAGTCAAGGAGCCTTCCTTCCTTTTAATGGTGTGCATGCTTGTGTGTATGCATGTGTGTGTGCATGTGTGTGTGTGAGTGTGTCAGTGTGATTGGCAGCCCAACCAGTAATGCATGGAATGGGAGCTAGATGGATGTCCCTTTATCTAAAGATTCATCTAAAGAAGGGATGTTGACAGACATGGCCATTACAGTATTACTCTGCTCACCATGGGATGAAAAGAGGGAACATTTCATAATGATGATATTTTCAATGTACAGCATGTAAGCAATGAAATCATTAACAGAAATGATCACTGCTACCACTATAATTCAAATATATATGCATATACACACACATATCCACCACACTTGGGCCTGCCATATGCCATGAAGGAGAGCCAGTACAGATAGGAATTATACAACTTCAAAATAATGATAAAATGGTCATCTTATTTTAATATAGTTTTCAGTAAAAAATTTTAATACACTGGGCGCCTGGGTGGCTCAGATGGTTGAGCGTCTGCCTTCGGCTCAGGTCGTGATCCCAGGGTTCTGGGATCGAGTCCCGCGTCGGGCTCCTTGCTCCTTGGGAGCCTGCTTCTCCCTCTGCCTCTCTCTCTCTCTCTTTCATGAATAAATAAATAAAATCTTTAAAAAAAAGTTAATAGACTTTATTTCTTAGGGAAGTTCTAGGTATGCAGACCATTTAGGTAGAAAAGACAGAAAGTCCCCATATATACCCTGTATTAGTCTGTTTAAGCCACCATAACAAAATACCACAAGCTGCATGGCTTAGATGATAGAAATGTATTTTCTCACAGCTCTGGAAGCTAGAAGTCCAAGATTAAGGTGCTGACAAATTGGGTTCCTGGTAAGAGCCTTTTCCTGGCTTGTAGATGGCCACCTTCTTGCTGTGTCCTCACATGGTGTTTTCTCTGTACACATGCAGCCAGAGGGTTCTGGTGTCTCTTCCTCTTCTTCTTTTTTTTAAGATTTCATTTATTTATCTGACAGAAAAAGAGTGAGAGAGCATAAGAGGGGGAGCAGCAGAGGGAGAGGGAGAAGCAGACTCCCCGATGAGCAGGGAGCCTGATACGGGGCTCCATCCCAGGACACTGAGATCATGACCTGAGCCAAAGGCAGACGCTTAACCAACTGAGCCACCCAGGTGCCCCATCTCTTCCTCTTCTTATAGGAACACCAGTCCTATCAGATCCAGGCCCCATCCTTATGACCTGATTTGACTCTAATTACACTCTAAAGGCAAATACCATCACAATGGGGGTTAGGGCTTCAGCATATGAATCTTGGGGGGGGTGCATAATTCAGTCTGTAATACCACCTCCTCCTCCCACACAGTTTCTCCTATTATTAACATCTTGCATTAGCATGGTACATTTGTTAAAATTGATGAATCAACATAGATAGATTATCATTAACTGAAGCCCACAGTTTATATTAGGGTTCATTCTGCGTTGTACCTTCTTTGGGTTTTGACAAATGCATAATGATGTATATCCACTATTACAGTTTCATACAAAATAGTTTCACCACCCTAAAAATGTCCTGTGTTCCACCTTTTCACCCTCCTCCCCCTGAACCCCTGGAAACCATTTACCTTTTTTTTACTGTCTCTGTAGTTTTGTCTTTTCCAGAATGTCATATAGTTGGAATCAGATGAGATGTAGCCTCTTCAGATGGGCTTCATTCACTTAGCAATATACGCATAAAGTGTCTTTGTGTGTGTGTGTGTGTGTGGCTTGATAGTTCTTTTTTTAAATCACTGAATAATATTCCGTTGTGTACATTACCACAGCTTGTTTATCCATTCCTTGACCGAAGGACATCCTGGTTGCTTTCAATTTGGGGCAATTATGAATAAAGCTGCTATAAATATTCATGCTCAGGGGTTTGTATGGATATGTTTTCAACTCATTTGGGTAAATACTCAGGAGCATGATTTCTGGATTATATGGTAAGCCTATTCTAGCTTTATAAAAAAATTGCCAATCTTCTTTCAAAAAAAAATTTGCCAAACTGTCTTCCAAAGCGGCGGTACAATTTTGCATTCCCACCAGCAGTAAATGAGCGTTTCTCTTGCTTTATATTCTATCTAGCATTCAGTGTTGTCAGGGTTTCAGACTTTAACCATTCTAATAATTATGTAGTGGTATCTCTCTGTTGTTTTAATTTGCAATTCCCTAATGACATAAGGTGTTTAGCATATTTTCATATGCTCATTTGCCATCTGTACGTATTTTTTGGGTGAGATCAATTTTTTTCTAACTTCTTAAATAACTGTGGGATGGTAGATCCACCCCTATTCTGCCACTCACCACAAATAGATAAGATACCTCCCTTGAGAGGAGCTCTTGCTCACTGGGTTGCACACACAGAGGGCAGGTTCTGAAAAGAAGGAATTAGCAACACTGAAATCTCCAGAACAAAGGCTCTAATTAAGGTATGTATTAATGAGTATCCTTGGGGAAGAAGGATAGAAGTAGGGAGGGACACTTTTATGTCCCTGGGAAAAAAGCAAAGGGAAGGCAAATATTTCAGAAGTCTGGCAGAAGAGGTGAATTTTTTCTTTTCTTAATCTTTGCATGTCCTGAGTCCACAAACCTGCAAATGTCTCAATGGCTGTCCATGACTCTGACTGAGGGAGGCAAACCATGCCATTTTCTCTGCAGGACGCTAGGAGGGAGTCAAAGCTCCTATAAGAGTGGGAAGGTTGATAAGAAAATACCTCTTGGGCACCTGGGTGGCTCAGATGGTTAAGCGTCTGCCTTCGGCTCCCTGCTCCTTGGGAGCCTGCTTCTCCCTCTGCTTCTCTCTCTCTCTCTCTCCCCCTCTGTCTCTCATGAATAAATAAATAAAATCTTTAAAAAAAAAAAAAAAAGAAAATACCTCTTACCACCAGGCATCTGTCCTTGTGCTGGTTACAAGGTTTCTATCAGACAAACCGTTACTCAGCTACAAGATAGTCTAGAACTTGAAAGTCGGGTGGCCTAACTTCTAAAAGACTGGAGTGTTTTTACTCTACCCACAAAATAGCTAATATGGAAGAGGAAAAAGCATTTGGAGTAGATGTAGTTTTGAGTCCTGGCTCTATGGCCTCCCTCTCTGTAACTTTAGTCAGTGGACTGATGGTCTCTGAGATTCAGATACAACCCTAACTCCACAAACAGGAGGTATGAGGGCCTGCTTCACAGGGATTCAAGAGAAATGAATGAAAGAATGCATTTAAAACACCTTGTCCACTGGGCGCCTGGGTGGCTCAGTTGGTTGGGCGACTGCCTTCGGCTCAGGTCATGATCCTGGAGTCCCGGGATCAAGACCCACATCAGGCTCCCTGCTCAGTGGGGAGTCAGCTTCTCCCTCTGATCCTCTTTCCTCTTGTGCTCTCTATCTCTCATTCTCTCTCTCTCAAATAAATAAAATCTTTAAAAAATAAAAAAAAATAAAACACCTTGTCCACTGTAATAAATGATGGACATTCTTAATACTTCACATAGATTTTACTGATGAGAGAGCATGGGGGAAGAATGGATTGGGGTTCAGCAGGAAAGATCTGGGGAAGGAATAATTTGAGGACTTCCCCTTATTCTAGGTTATTAGGAGAGCTGAATAGAAGGAAGGCAAACAGAAAATTATTTTTTTTAAACAACTGTTAGACAAGTGGGAAGGAAGAGGTAGGAGGAGAGACTATTATTTTGAGAGATACTAGCCACAAAAAAAAAAAAAAAGACCCACCTCCATACTTCAGAAACTATGTTTTTAAACCCACTTTGGGTACATACTTAAATAAAATTAATATCTTTAAAAATGGCTAACTTGCTAGGCATTTCAAAATATAGAAAGAAAGGTGGCTTAGTGGACAGGGATGTCTGAATGTTCAGAAGCCAAACACCTTGGAAAAATAATGTCCAAATTGAAAGCATCTTGAATGTGAATATCAATCTGAGAATTATCATGTTGCAATTGTTGAGTCTTCCCTCACATAAATATAGCATATGTTTCCTTTTTAATTGTGTCCTCTTTGATGACAAAGTTTCATAATATTTTACATAACTGAGGTGCTGTTTTTATCACATTTGTTCTTAGAAACCTTAGCAATTTTTGTTGCTAGAACGATTGGGATTTTTTTTTCTATTGCATTTTTAAAATAGTTATTTATGGTGCTTATAAAAGCAGTGAAAAGAATGAACTGAAGTCTTTAGAAGAGCATGGCTGTATTTCTAAAACAACAGTGCGGGGAGAAGAAAAGTAAGATACAAAATGAGGGACATGACAACCATTTGTGTAAGTCAAAAGTGAGCACAAAACAATATTATATATTATTTAGGGGTACATTAAAATATGTAAAAGGACAGGGGAAACTGTTTGGAATGAACCGTACCAGACTGGTTTCTGTACTTGCTTCTGGGATCTGGGAATCGGTTGTGTAAAGAGAAATCTGGCTTCATCTGTATTGCATTAGAAAGGCAGGAAGAGAGGGAAAGAAAGAAAAAAGAACTAAAAGCAAATCTGACAATATGTTAGCAATTGCTAATTCTGGGTCGTGGAACGATAGGTATTTAAATTGTCTTCATAAGGGGCGCCTGGGTGGCTCAGTTGTTAAGCGTCTGCCTTCGGCTCAGGTCATGATCTCAGTATCCTGGGATGGAGCCCCGTATCAGGCTCCCTGCTCATTGGGGAGTCTGCTTCTCCCTCTCCCACTCCCCCTGCTTGTGCTCTCTCTCTCGCTGTCTCTCTCTGTCAAATAAATAAATAAAATCTTAAAAAAAAAATTTTAAATTGTCTTCATAAATTCTGGCTTTTCTTATCCCACCCAATCCTCCCTGTATTGGTCAGCTGGGGCAGTTTTCAATTTTTAAAAGCATGTTAATAGACCTTAATGTTTAGAGAAGCTTTAGGTTTACAGGAAATTTGGATGGAAAATACAGTTTCCATATGCTCCTTCCCCCACCCCTGGACTCCTTCATCTGTTTCCGCTGCCATAGCAATGTACCACAGGCCAGGTGGCTCAAATGGCAGAAATGTATTTTCTCACGGTTCGGGAGGCTACAAGTCTAAGGTCAAGGTGCTGATATATTGGGTTCCTGATAAGTGCCCCTTCCTGGCTTGCAGAAAGTCACCTTCTTAATTTGACCCCCTAGGACCTTTTCTCTAGGCATGTACTGAGAAAGAGAGAGAGGTTTTTGGTATCTCTTCCTCTTCTTAGAAGGACACCAGTCCAATCAGATCAGGACCTCACCCTTACAACATCATTTAACCTCAATTACCTCCTGAAGCTCTATCTCCAAATATCATCACAGTAGGAACTGGGGCTTCAATATATGGGCACACAATTCAGTCTTTAACATCCTGCCTTCTGGCTTCCCAAAATTCACGTCCTCAAGTACAAAGTACATGCACTCCATTTCAACAGCTCCCAAAGTCTTAACCCATTCCAGCATCAATTCTAGATCCAAAGTCTCACCTGGGTATCATTGAAATCAGGTATGAGTGAGACCTGAGGTCTGATTCATCCTGAGGCTGAATTCCTCTCCAGCTGTGAGCCTGTGAAACCAGACAAGTTACGCGCTTCGAAAATACAGCGGTGGGACAGGCATAGGACAGAGATTCCCATTCCGCAGGGAACAAATCAGAAAGCACGGAGGGGTGGTGGGTCTCTGGCAAGCCCCAAAGCTAGCAAGGCAAATTCAATTAGGTTGTAAGGCTCAAGAATAATCTTCAGGGCGCCTGGGTGGCTCAGTCGTTAAGCGTCTGCCTTCGGTTCAGGTCGTGATCCCAGGGTCCTGAGATCGAGCCCCGCATCGGGCTCCCCGCTCAGCGGGAAGCCTGCTTCTCCCTCTCCCACTGGCCCTGCTTGTGTTCCCTCTCTCCCTGTCTCTATCAAATAAATAAATGAAATCTTAAAAAAAACCCACTAGGTGGCAGCGTCACCTCAGGGCCCCAGGCTGGGGCCCCGCCCCCAGGGCACCAAGCGGGTGGGCCTCCTGCCGGAAGGGGAGGAAACAGTCTTACCCCTTGCACCTGTGGGGACAGTGCTAGCCCTGATGATTTCTGTATCTTCAGGGTCATTCCTCCGTTTTCTTGAAGGATAAAATGTACTCGCAGGCATATGGCTCTATTGTCCCATCCTATAGAATCCTAGAAGTCCAAACGCGTTGGTTTATTTTGTCCTGTCTCTGCAGCTTTGGACCAAACCGACAGTGTCTCTACCCCTAACTTCTGTTGAAATGGCTGATGAACTCCATGGGTGACCTCTCTGTGGAGTGGTCCTCCAGCCACACCTTAGGCGTATTCTCCAGAAACACTTCCTCATTTCTGTGGTACGGACAGTCTTCCAAATCTTCGAGTTCGGATTCCTCTTTGTGTAACGACTCCTTCAACTTACCTCTCTCCTTTAGCATTTTATGATAAGCGGCACAGAGAAGCCAGGCTGCCTCTTAACCTTGGCTTAGGAATACCCCAGACAAATACCCAATCTTCCGCAAAACACTAGAACACAAGTCAGCCAAGTTCTCTACCACTTATAGCAAGGATCCAATTCCTCCACTTCCAATAACATATTCTTCATTTCTGCTTGAGACCTCACCTTTAACATTCATATTTCCGCCCCCGTTCTGTTCATGATGATACCTGTAATCTCTCAGACCATGGAAGCTCTCTCTCCAGCCTCCTCTCTTCTTCCCGAGCCCTCAGCATAATCACCTTTACCATCCACATTGCCACCAACAGGCAACCTCGGCTTTTTCTAGCATATACGCCTCAGGATCCTTCCGCCTCCGCCCATTAGCAGCTTCCAAAGCCATTTAGATATTTGTTACAGTAGCACCCACTTCTCAGTATCATAATCTGTACCAGTCAGCTCAGGCTGCCATACCAAAGTGCCCCAGACCGGGTGGCTTAAACAACAGAAATTAATTTTGTCATGGTCCTGGAGGCTAGAGGTCCAAGATCAGGGTGCCAATAGGGCCAGTTTCTGGTAAGACCTCTGTTCCTGGCTTGCAACCCTCCATCTTCTTGCTGTGTTCTCATTGGTCTTTTCCCTGTGCGTGCAGAGAGAGAGAGAGAAAGCTTGTATGCTCGGGTGACTCTTCTTCTTATAAGGACACCAGGCCTATGGATTGGGGCCCGACCCTTATGATATATTTAACTATAATTACCTCCTTACTGGCTCATCTCCAAATATAGTGACCTAGGTGGTGTCTTGGTCGGTTTGGGCTGCTATCACAGAATAACGGAGACTGGGTGGTTCATAAACAACAGAAATGTAATTGTCGCCATTCTAGGGGCTGGGAAGCCCAAAATCAGGGTGCCAGCAGGCTCTGATGAGAACCCTCTTCCAGGTTGCCGACCGCCGACTTCTCCGTATAAACCTCACATGGCTGAGAGCGGAGAGAAGAAGCAAGCTCTCCTGTGATTCTTATAAGGGCACTCATCCCATTCATGAGGGCTGTGGCCTCATGACCTCATTTAACTCAATTACTTCCCAAAGAACCCACTGCTTAATACCAACACAAGGTGGGGGTAGGGCTTTAACATACGAATCTTGAGGGGCACCTGGGTGGCTCAGTCATTAGGCGGCTGCCTTTGGCTCAGGTCATGGTCCCAGGGTCCTGGGATTGATCCCTGCATCGGGCTCCCTGCTCAGTGGGAGGCCTGCTTCTCCCTCTCCCACTACCCCTGCTTATGTTCCCTCTCTCGATGTCTCTCTCTCTCTTTCTCCATCAAAGTAAATAAATAAAATGTTTTTTTTAAAAAACATATGAATTTTGGGAGGAAACAAATGTTCAGTCTGTAACAGGGCTTTAGGGCTTCAAAATATGAATGAGGTGAGAGGAGGCAGTTAGAATTCAGTCTATATTTTTAAATAAAAATATTTTTAAGGAATGAATCTCTCTTAGGTGCCTCTCTGACCTGGTCCTCCCGCCTTGATGGATTATACCCCGGAGCCCAATGTGACCACGGTAACCGACTACTACTATCCTGATGACATCGCAAGCCCCTGCGATGGGGAACTTATCCAAAGAGATAGCAAGTTGCTTCTTGCTGTCTTTTACTGCGTCTTGTTTGTATTTGGTCTTCTGGGAAACAGCCTGGTCATCCTTGTCCTTGTCACCTGTAAGAAGCTGAGGAGCATCACCGACATATACCTCTTGAACCTGGCCCTGTCTGACTTGCTTTTTGTCTTCTCCTTCCCCTTCCAAACCCACTATCAGCTGGACCAGTGGGTGTTTGGGACTGTAATGTGCAAGGTGGTCTCTGGTTTTTATTACATTGGCTTCTTCAGCAGCATGTTCTTTATCACCCTTATGAGTGTGGACAGGTACCTGGCAATCGTCCATGCTGTCTATGCCATGAAAGTGAGGACAGCCAGAATAGGCACAGCCCTGAGTCTGGCCGTGTGGCTGATTGCCATCATGGCCACCAGCCCATTACTAGTATTGTACCAAGTGGCCTCTGAAGATGGCATTCTACAGTGTTATTCGTCTTACAACCAACAGACTCTGAAGTGGAAGATCTTCATCCACTTTGAAATGAATATCTTAGGTCTGTTGATCCCATTCACCATCCTTATGTTCTGCTACATTAGCATCCTGCACCAGCTGAAGGGTTGCCAAAATCACAACAAGACCAAGGCCATCAAGTTGGTGCTCATTGTGGTGATTGCATCTTTACTCTTCTGGGTCCCATTCAATGTGACCCTCTTCCTCACGTCTCTGCTCAACATGAACATCTTGGATGGATGTGTCCTGAGCCAGCGGCTGATTTATGCCACCCATGTCACAGAAACCATTTCCTTCACTCACTGCTGTGTGAACCCTGTGATCTATGCTTTCATGGGTGAGAAGTTCAAGAAACACCTCTCAGAAATATTCTGGAAGATTTCCAATCATATTCTCTTCTTCATGGGAAGACCAATACCTAGGGAGGGCTGGGAAAGATCCCCCTCCTCCTGTCAGAACACCTCCCGTTCCTTCACCACAGACTACATTTTGTGACAGGGGTGCTTCTTTTAGGAGACAAAAATGATTTACACTGGAGTCTGAGGCTACATGAAGGGATACTCTTAGAAATGTGGTTACAGGCACAAGGTATATTTCATGATGCTTAATGAACTCTGACTATTGCAAATTAATCTTCTCAACTTTCAAAGATTTTGTTACTTTTTTCTGGAAATAGTCTATATATCTCACTATTAAGTATAATGTTAGCTTTGGGATATTTTTTTTAGTTTTTGTAGTGTCTTTATCACATATCAATTTAAATTTTATCAAATGCTTTTTCACATCTATTAAGGTGATTATATAACTTTCCTCTATTATTCTGTTAATTTGGTGAACTACATTGTCTGATTTTCTTATTTTAAATCAACCTGTATTTTCCCTGGGAAAAAAATGACCTCTTGTTCACGATCATTTTAATAAATAATTAGATTCTCAGAATTTTCATATCTGTGTTCATGAGAAATATTGCCCTGTAATTTTCCTTTTAAAATGTCCTGGTGAGGGGTGCCTGGGTGGCTCAGTCGTTAAGCGTCTGCCTTTGGCTCAGGTCATGATCCCAGGGTCCTGGGATCGAGCCCCACATCGGGCTCCCTGCTCGGTGGGAAGCCTGCTTCTCCCTCTCCCACTCCCCCTGCTTGTGTTCCCTCTCTCGCTGTGTCTCTCTCTGTCAAATAAATAAATAAAAATCTTTAAAAAAAAATGTCCTGGTGAAACATGCAGGGATGTCCACTATCACCACTGCTGTTCAATATAGTACTAGAAGTCCTAGCCACACCAATCAGACAACAAAGAGAAATAAAAGGCATCCGAATTGGCAAAGAAGCCAAGCTCTCACTCTTTGCAGATGACATGATACTCTATGTGGAAAACCCAAGAGACTCCACCGCAAAATTGCTAGAACTCATACAAGAATTCAGCAATGTGGCAGGATATAAAATCAATGCACAGAAATCAGTTGCAACGACGTGGATGGAACTAGAGGGTGAAATAAGGCAATAAGAGAAGGACAATTATCATATGATCTCACTCATATTTGGAATTTAAGAAACAAAACAGAGGATCATAGGGGAAGAGAGGAAAAAATAAAACAAGATGAATTCAGAGAGGGAGACAAACCATAAGAGACTCTTAATCAGACGAGATCGGGCATGTTCAGGGTGGTATGGCACAAACTGAGGGTTGCTGGAGGGGAGGAGGGTGAGGGGATGGGGTAACTGGGTGATGGACATTAAGGAGGGCACATGATGTAACGGGCACTGGGTGTTATGTAAGACTGATGAATCACTGACTTCTACCTCTGAAACTAATAATACATTAAATGTTAATTAATTGGGGACACCTGCGTGGCTCAGTTGGTTAAGCATCTGCCTTCAGCTCAGGTCATGATCCCAGGGTCCTGGAATCGAGTCCTGCATCGGGCTCTTTGCTCAGCAGGGAGCCTGCTTCTCCCTCTGCTTGCAGCTCCCTTTGCTGGTGTTCTCTCTCTGTGACAAATAAATAAATAAAATCTTTTTAAAAATGTTAATTAATTGAATTTAAATAAAAAATTAAAAAATTAAATAAAATTGTAAAATAAAATAAAATAAAATGTCCTGGTCAGATCTGCAATAACATGGATGGACCTAGATGTATTATGCTAAGTGAATAAGTCAGAGATAGAAAAACAGATATCATGCAATTTCACTTGTATGTGGAATTTAAGAAATAGAACAAATGAACAAAGAAAAAAAGAGAGAAACAAAAAACCAGATTCTTAAATACGGAGAAAGAACTGGTGGTTGCCAGAGGGGAGGTGGGGGGAGGATTAAGATGTACAAACCTCCAGTGTTAAAATAAACCAGTCGGGGAGAAGAAAAGCACAGCATAGGAAATACAGTCAGTAATGTTTTTTGGTGACAGATGGTGGTGACTACACTCACTGTGTGTGATCACTGAGAAATATACAGAATTGTTGCATCACTATATTGTATACCTGAAACTAATATAATACTGTATGTTAATTACATTTAAAAAAAAATGTCCTGGTCAGATGTGATCTCCAAAACTGTGTTGGAAAGTATTCCTTTTGCCACTACTCTCTGAAAGAGTTTGTGCAAAATATTGGGTGTTACTGCCCCCATAAAAGTTTGGTAAAATCCATTAGTGAAGCCATCTGGGATTTCTCTGTAGCAAGATTTCCAATTATGCATTCAGTTTCTTTGGCAGATAAAGATTATTCAGATTTTCTGTCTTTGCTTGTCTCAGTGTTAGAAAGTTGTGATTTTAAAGGAATTTTCCCAGTTTAAGTTGTCAAATTAGCATAAAGTTGTTCCAATATCTTCTTATAGCATTTTTATGAGAATATGAAGTAATGTCCTTTTCACTCCTAATTCACACCAAATCATTGGTGATTTGTATTTTCTCTCTTTTTTGTTCCTGATCAGTCTTATGAGGTTTATGAATTTTATTAATCTTTTCAAAAAACAGCTTTTGGCTTTGTTGATTTTATGTTTTTGTCTTTACACTGATTTCTGCTCTTATTTTTTAAAGATTTATTTATTTATTTGAGAGAGAGCAAGTGGGGGAGTCCTGAGGGAGAGGAAGAGAGAGAAATCAAGCAGACTCCCCACTGAGGGTGGAGCCTGAGGGGCTCCTCCCCGCCCATGGCTGGACCTCACGACCCTGAGATCATGACCTGAGCCAAAAGGAAGAGTTTGGATGCTTAACTGACTGAGCCACCCAGGTGCCCCTGCTCTTATCTTTATCTTACCTGCTTTCCTTAGGTTTAATTTCTATTTTATTCTAGCTTCTTGAAATGGAATCTTAGATTACTGATTACCAATCTTTGTTCATTTTTGAAAGATGTCTTTAGAGCTACAAAATTTCCTCCAGCTGTGCTTACACTGCATCCCATACATTTTCATACAGTTGATTTTCATTGATTTCCAATTTAAATTATTTTCTATTTTCCATTGTGAATTCTTTTTTTTTAAGATTTTTATTTATTTATTTATTTGTCAGAGAGAGAGGACAAGCAGGGGGAGTGGCAGAGGGAGAAGCAGGCTCCCCACTGAGCAAGGACCCCAATATGGGACTCGATCCCAGGACCCTGGGATCATGGCCTGAGCTGAAGGCAGACGCTTAACCGACTGAGCCACCCAGGCATCCCATCTACTGTGAATTCTTTGTGTCATGAGTTGTTCAGAAATGAATTTAAAATTTCCAAACATTTGGGAGGTGGGGGGCACCTGGGTGGCTTACTCAGTTAAGTGTCTGCCTTTGGCTCAGGTCATGATCCCTGAGTCCCAGGGTCCAGCCCCACATCGGGCTCCATGCTCAGTGGGGAATCTGCTTCTCCCTCTCCCTCCGCCCCTCCCCCGATCCTTCTCTTTCTCTCTTGCTCACTCTCTCTTTCTCTCTCCAATAAATAAATAAAATCTTTTTAAAAAAATTTCCAAACATTTGGGGATTTCTTTATGCTTTAGTTTCTAGTTCGACTCCACCATTCTCAGAGAATATATATGTGTGCATTTGGTTTTTTGAAATTTACTGAGACTTGTTTTATGACTCCAAATATGGTTTATTATGGTAAATGTTCCATGTACACGTGAAAAGAATGGGTGTATTGAGTGGTTGTTGGAGCTGTTTAATCAGATTGCTCTTTAAGCTTGCTGATTTTTGCTCTTTGCTTATTCTATGAGTCAGGGCAAATAGTATATTAAAATCTTGAACTGTGATTGTGAGTTTGTCTATTTTTCACTTTAATCCCATTAAATTTTGCTGTATATATCTTGAAACTATGTTATTAGGTGCATGCAAATATAAGATTTGTATACCTGTCTATTGAATTGACTCATCATTTTTTAAGTTTATTTATTTATTTATTTGTAATCTCTACACCCAACAAGGAGCTCAAACTCATGATCTCAATCAAGAGTTGCACGCTCTTTGGACTGAGCCAGCCAGGTGCCCGGCTCTTTTATCATTATTAAATGTTTCTTTTCCTCCAACAATACTCCTTGTCCGAAAGTTTGCAAAGGTCAGCATTAATATAGCCACACCAGCTTTCTCTGGATCAGTGTGTGTCTGCTTTGTCTCTCTATACTCTTCTACTTCAAACCAAACTATTTTCTTATGCTTAGTTTCTCCCCTATAAACAGAATTTAGTTGGGGCTTTTTTTTTTTCTTTTTGCACAGACAGGGTTTCATTACCATGAAGATACATAATATGTATAAAATCTAAAAATCACCTTTAGATAGACTATTCTGTTGGATCCCATTATATAGTATACAAAAGGTTGATTTCTGATTTCAGAACAATTTTTTCTTTTCTTTTCCAAGTTAACAACATAATTTCAATAACAGATGATACATTCTGCAAAATTGACACACATTATATTGACCATATTGCAAATAAATGCCTGGCGGGCAGCCTACTCATTTTAGGAAAGCATCCAAACAGCTTTATCTTGAAATGTTTAAATATGTGCTTAGGATTCACACACCACTCCTCCAAAAAGTGTAACTCCTGAAAAACATGAGAAGGTTGCTTCTTTCTCCTGCTTTAGACACAAACTGACTTTATTCTGACTCCTGTGAGCTCCATTATTATATTAGGTCACTAATAACAAAAGACAAACTCCTCATTCTGAATGTCCAGACACTGAAATTCCAGTTAAAATGTAACGATGTAGCAATTTCCTGATAACATGTGTTTTGCTAGAATTTTCATTATAAGTCATCTAGGTGCTTGGTAGATCCTCTTTTCCTGGAGCAATTTCTTACACTGATGCAAGTAAGTGTGATATGTGCTTCATTAATAGTTGTTGCATGAATAAAGGAATGTGCCCCTGAAACAAGACAGGGTTAAGAACTAGGGTGAGGTAGGAATGCAGAACTTGTACCTGGCTCTCAGGCTAATGCAAGCCACACCAGAGAGGTGGGAGATGCTCTGGGGCACAGACATCTTTGAGGAAAATGCCCACACATAAGCAAAGTTTTGCCAACAGTTCTGC